CAACAGCACAGGCGTGTCTCATTCCTCAGGGGGACTCACCTTTAGTTCCCCCAAACCAAGCCCTGTTTGTGACAGAAATGTAAGTGTTTCTACTAAAAATTCATTGAGACTCAGACCTTCAATGAGGAATTGATCAACTTTCTTTACATCTAAACTATGTTTTTACCTTAATGTGACTTTAACTGTGGTAAAGAGAAAAAAGCGTACAGGGTTACAAGTTGTGAGGACTTAGCATATAAGCTCTGTAGGCTACGTGGGGCTGTTACACACACATGCCTTGAAAATAGAGAAAACGTGAATTTCACAGGCTTTTAATTTCACTCACCAGTTGGCTACCTTCGTTCTCTCCATGTATGAATCATGGTTATTCCTTGCATTCCAAAACATTACAAATATTCTGAAAATGTCTTCTACTATTTTATATTTCACATATTAACGTTGGCTAAATTTATACATTTTTGAAGAACCACAAATGAAATATTTTTAAACTGCATTTCTTAGATTAAATATAATAAGCGATAATAGTATGTGATATTATTCTTTTACAGTTAGCCCTTGAAACAAATTTTAAATTATTTTATTTGAATAAAAGTATGACTAATATAAATTCCTAGCCTATTTTCAGGTAGATGCTTTTACTTTGAGAATTATGATAATCTAACTGACATTTTTAATGTTTCTAAAAACTCATAAGTTGTTTAGTTTTATTTCAACACTTGAAGATTGGTTCTCATTTGCATATCAACATCAGAAGAATTATTCAACTAAGATTTGAAAACTAACAAGTCAGAGATTTGATTCAGAAACAGCTTCTATACTATACGTTTAAAAATCCCTCAGCAATTGATGGTGTTCTTTTTATAGTATCAAATTCTAAGAACATTGACATTAATGCAGAGGAATTTACTGAGTGTTTTATTTCAGGATTCAGCCTCTGATGTTATAACCGCAAGATATTTTAAATCAATAGTTTATAATCATACTGTCACATTTTTATCACCTCTACATAATCTTGTGGTTTCTACAATCTTTGTTTTATAGGTGCTGTGATTATGGAATGGATTTAAATTTTTTCCCATTCTTTCTTCTTCAGTTCATTTCTTTTTATCTTCCCACTGATAGTCTTCGGCAGCTCTTGAACAAATTCTACCTGTTGGTATCAAGGGAAGAAAATTAGCCCTGAAGTTCTCATCTTTAGGCAAAGTCAATTATGTAGCAGTTCTATTATGAACCCTAGTTCGAAGAATTAGGATACTCATTGGGGTGGATTTTGGGTAACGACCAAAAGGGAGAGGGTTACTGTTGAGATTTTTCTTGATATTTAGTATTTACTACAAGTCTGGTGAGCCAAATAGCCCAACAGGTTAGATTAAGAGTTTCATTTTAACCTCGAAGATTCCGATTCTTCCCTTGTCGTTAGTTCAGTTTGGAACATTTGGTGGAGCATGTTTGAGGAGAATGTTCATTAAAATAGAAAAAAATAAACAGCTGAAATTTTCCAGAACACTAAACAAGTATCTGTCATAATTAGAACACCTACCTTTCTGGGATATTTGTAAGGTGCTGTGGTTTTTTTAACATACTCCTGAATGTCCTTTTTTAGTTGGTCTTGGTCATGTGACTTATAATTAGGGTTCAGAACAATAAAAGCCTTTACGACCTAAAATAAATATTTGAAACTCCGGTAAGATGAATTGCGTGTTTTTATGTTTTAGTGTCTTGTTTACTTTCTCTAACTGGGAATCTTGAGTGCCTGGCGGCGTGGGCCAGGGGTCTCATAGGGTTTGATCCCCACTCTGTGCTCTTACGCCAGCCAGCTGACCCCCACACTTCCTGTTCTGCACCTTATACCGGAGAGCTTCTGGCATCCCTGCCTCGTCTATGATCTACACTGGAACCTTCTCGTCTAACTACATCTTGAACTCCACTTTGTTACCCGTTTCTCATTATCTCTGTCCTTGACTTCTTGCCTCATCTCTTATCTCCTTAAAAAAGTTTCCTGTTGGAAACTTGGCAGTACACTGAGCATAGTCTGTGGTGGAGCGAACCAGCCTGCCCTAGCCTAGCTCCAGGTCCCCACCCCCAGGCTGGCCCTCGCGAGCAGTCTTCACCCTGGGCTCACTGTTTCCTGTGGAAAAGAAGACTTCACTGAGACCATGCCCTCTAATCCAGACACACTTCTGTTGACGCCAGGCTGTGGAGATCCCAGCAGCCACCTTGCTGTTGCTCTGAGCCACTCACGTGGCCCCGAGGAACAAGAGTAGGAGTGGCGGTGGCCTCGCTCTCTCACTGGCAGAAGACGCCATCACCTCATGCTCACAGACCTGGTTCAGAGTGCCCCCTCCCCGAAATGAGTTGAGAAATCCTGCCCGAAGGGTTGGGAGCATTAACGGTGAAGGCAGAATGCCCCCCCTTCGTGTGTGGCCCCCTTCAAGAGTGTCTGGAGTCTAAGTGCCCTCTGCTGGCGCTGCCAGCACAGCCATTCACTGCCCTCCCTGGAGGCCAGACGCTGGGCGACTTGATAGTAGGTGCCACCAAATCCAAATTGGGAGTAACAGCCATAACAAGAGTCATCCATTGTTTTAGCCCTAGTCAAAGTTTCGTCTTTTAAAGAAGGCTTGTAGAAAGCACACATTTTTAAAAAATTGTGAAAATGTAGCTAAATAGGTAAATTAAGTCATTGGCGAAAAATTTTTAAAAGCAAAGCAACCACATGAAATTCCAAAAAATACTAAAATGTGAAAATCAACCACAAAACCACAATACAGGAATTAAATTAGGAAAATACTCATATCAAACTCATTTGCTTTTGGACAATACCTGAGAAAAAATTAAATATTCACAAAACAAAGTAGCTATGATTAGCAAATAGCTTTAGGAAATTTTAAAGCTAAAACATTACCAAATGGACAACAGTGTGAAATGCACACAATAAGTTGCAAAACTGGTCGATAGGTAAAAATGACCATCATTTTGGATATTGTCGTAAAGTCTTCATTTTATCTGTTTTTGATCCATTCTGGAACTTGCTACTCAGTCGTAGTCCTGGCAGGACCTAGCCTGGAGAAAGACCCAACCCAGCTAGGACAGGCCTGCTACCAGAAAAAGTTGCTGCCCATGGCATGCAGCACGTGACCCCTTTGTGCACAGACACCCACCCACATCTGCCAGGAAATGTTACCACTCGCGGATGTTGGGAAACTGAGCTGGTCCAACTTTCCTTCTCACTTGGCTAATACAAGCCCTACCCCGAGACACCAGAGCTGGGGCGGTGGGCAGTGGGGGGGGTGGTGGGGAGACCACAACCCACTGATGGATCTTAGCTGTGTTATACTCTGGGATATCCGCTGACTGCCAAGCCAACCCTGGTCCCACAGGCTCAGCTACCAAGTAGGCGCCTGTCCAGGTGGATACAGTTAATGGTTGGCTGATGCTAGGGGAGAGGTGCAGAAGAAGCTTCCGGTGGATTTGTGAGCGAAGGGGCAAACCCCAATCAATCATCACTGAATCTGTCCCCTGCTCTCCTCTATCTGGAATATTGAGGGCCATGCCTGGCGAAGGGGGCCTGAAGAGAGTGACATGGAAGCTTTAAACCCATACTGCCATGTGATCACCCAATAGGACAGCTTTCAGGATTCCTGTCTTATTTGTAGCTTATTTCCTGAATCCTCTGCTTATTTACCTACCCGGCCTGCTTCCGGTTGCCTCGGCCCTGTCTCTGCCCTTGCTTCCACCTGCTATCTGATGTCAGCCTGTCATCCTCAGCTACACCAGGGACCATGTTGGTTTCCAGACCTAGGTAACAACTCGTTCCTAGCTAGCCGACCTCTGACACCCTATCCTGGTGCGGCCTGCGTTGTTGGCACTGACACCGTCATTGCCCCGCCCTCTCTGGAAAGGACTCAAATTCTGTGTAGTATATTTTTCCAGTTTTATTCTTCAGTAGCTCTTCCTGACTTGCACAACTAGTAGTGACTCTAGCGATTCTATCTGACTTGCACCGTTAGCGAATGAATCGTTTGGGTAATTCCGATTCAATGAAATACCGTTTGAAAGTAAGTGTTAGACCTCTAACAAATTATAAAGTGGAGATGAATCGGTTCTTTTACCTCTCCTCTGATGGGGTCTGGGCTGCTGACGACAGCTGACTCAGCCACCGCAGGATGCCCAATCAGGGCACTTTCTACCTCAAATGGTCCAATTCGGTAACTGGGAAAAGAAACACACGACTGGAATTTCCAAAGGTGAGCAGCAGGTTCGCTCCCGAATGTTGATGATCAGTTAACGCCAACGTATGCGCAGACGAAAAACAAAATTACCCAGAGGATGATATAATATCATCCGATCTTGCAATGAACCAGAAATAGCCATCTTCATCCATATAGCCTCTGTCCCCAGTGATGTAGTAATTGCCTCTTAGAGTCGACGCTGTTTTCGTCGGATTATCCTGTGACACAAATAACATTTTGTTATTGTCGTGGATGTGACTCTTCCGTTCAATGCTTAAATGTTCCAGGAGAAAGAGAGGTTTGCTTCCTTCGAGAAGCCTCAGGATGAAGACGAGGATAAAATTCCAGCACTGAGCTGGCTCGGATGTAAAAGGTAAAACTTCAGTCACAGAGGCTGGGCCTGTTTCTATCCTGAGCTTTGTCTTAGGTGGATCACAAGGCAAGTAAATATTGCAGGAGCTCAGAGCTCAGAGGAGCGGGCTGAAAAAGCCTTTTGCTAAGCGGCTAGTGTTAAACCCGGGAGGAGAAGAGTGAAGGGAGCCCTGAGAGCCGAAAGAAAGCACCAGCACCTAGCAATGCAAAGAACCGTTTTTTTGATTTCCTTTTGTTTTGTTTTATACAAAAACAGAGAATTGGTTCTGTCATTCTGGCGGGAAGAAAAATGCAGTAGTGTCAGGTAAAACTCACTGACAAGTAGAACCTGACCTTTGATCATGCCGCTGTAAAGTTTGCTCTTATTCATGTACTGTGATGAGAAATGGAAATCCAGGGGGCGGGCGGGGGGCAGGCTTGGAAGGCCACGAGTGAGGTGACGTCCTTAGCCCTGCCCCCCGCCCGCTTCTCTCTTCCTCTCAGTCCTCGGGAGAGGCCACTGATGGGATCTCAGGAAGAGGATGGGGCGCTGTTTCATGGTGTGGGGTGGCGGCGGGGGGGAGGGGGCGGTCAGCGTACGCCAAGAGGTTCGGCTTCTTTCTGGGGCTCCCTGCCTCTTGCCTTCGTGGGCCTGGAGCAGTGATCCAGCCCTGGGGAGGCAGCGCCCCTTCTCTAGCAAGCATCGAGTGTCCCTTTAGCTCCCTGCCTGAGGGGCTGCTGCTATTCAGGACAGAATTTTGAGAAACCAATAGAAAACAGCAGGTTATTTGATGAGTCTCTTACTATATAATGAGTGAAAAGGCCCAGCGGTCGGTTAGGGAGGACTCGAAGGCCAATGTCTCCTTCTTGTCCAGGAGGTAGGACGTTGCCATTTTCATCCAGAATCTTGGATAAAACAGAACGATTTATGGAAAGGAATTTTTATTTAACGCCACATCTTAAATCTTTGCTTCACATGTTCCGTTTTGATTTTTTTTGCCATTTCGGAATGCACGCTCGAAGCAAATTTTAAGTATACTTTAAATTTCTAAGGGAAGCGTATGCATTTAAATTCTTATTGCAAAATATATCGTCAAATACAGGTTAGCAAATGTGAAAGAAGAATAAAAGTTTTCTTTAATTCTATCACCCGGCAATAATCACACTTGAGAAATATCTTTAGAGATGTTATAGACCCAGATAAAAATAGGAATGTTTCATAACATACTGCTTCGCAACCTGCTCTCATCACTCGGCAGTGTATCTTGGCTGTCCTTTCCTCTCAAACGTTTCGTTACTGGTTTTCAAACTTTGTGGAACAAACAAACCTACTTCAGAAGCCCAGTGCGAGGAAGCAGGAAATGGGAATGTTCCTGTGCCTCACGCCCTGCGCCCTGCGGTGCCTTGACGTTCCTGACTGGAGCCGGTGTTCATTAAGCACTTAACTGTATTCTGAGTACTAAGCACTAAAGCTCTGAGGACCTCTCAAGCCTTATTTTCTTCAGTCCTCACTACATGCCTGTTTGGGGAAACTGAGGTGCAGAGTGTTTAAGTAACAGTGTGTAATGGAGCTAGAATCGAAATCTCGGCCGTGAGACCCCCAGACCCCCCACTTTTCATCGTCATCCTCCTCTGTGGGACCTCTCTGGGGGTTAAAGCCAATTTTGAAAAATCCAGATTAGCATTTCTCAGGCTGATCGCTTATCTCATGATTTTGCTCTAAATGGCTTTTAGCTGTTTGTAAATATGAAAATTCTTTTCTGCTTTTATATACATCCGACAACAGCCTTCAACCCCGAGATGGGGCTTGTGTGGAAAATAAGGCATAATACTTATCTGGCACTTTCCAGAAGGAAGAGGGCTTGTGTCCTCAATGAGAAGCTTGAAAGGCAAAGCAATTCTAAATGTAAAACCTTACTTTTAAGTGCTTGCAAATAAAAAAATATGAATTCCCAGCCAGTCATCTAAAGAAATATTTGGCTCCAAGTATCAAGGAATTATTTATTAGTGGAAAGGACATATTTTAGGAGTTCCAAAAATACTTCTCACAGACTACTCTTTAAGAGACAGGAAAAAGACAGAACGTTCTGTCTCTGGAGAGAACCACATTGCTCATTGTTCAAGGGGTCCGAAAATGTTAAACATGGACATTGTGAGCTTTGCGCTTTGAAGTTGCAAGAATCTGATATCCAGCTGGCTGGAGCACGTCCTCAGATGCCAGAATGTCCTGGCACATGCTCTTAGCTGAGAAACAGCTCACCCAGCGACACCCGCCTGGCGAATGCAGAGCCGGGCCTGAAACGCTGGCAGTCCCACCTTGAGACAAGGTTCCCACAGCAAAGTTCGAGTGAGGGAAAGGACTCAGCATCTGGTACATTCTGTGAACAGTGATATCAGCAACCCAGCTCACCTAAACTTAAGAGTTACCTGGGTGCTCGTTTAAAACACAGCTTTCGGGGTCCCACCCTAAACCCGCTGAATCAGACCCCCTAGGGACGGGTCTGAGCGTTAGTATTTTTAACAAGTGTGCATGCGGTTTTCATGAGCAGGTCAGCTTGGTGAGCACGGCTCGTATCCAATCCACAAGGAGGCCTCAGTTGAGTTTGGTTCTGCGCGCTCTGTGAAGTCCTCTGCTCTGTGTTCCTGTCGCTCTTATTTCTTTTACGGGTCAGTGGTCCTTGGGCTATACTTAGCTTGGGGCTCTGAGAACGATTCTAACCCTCTGCAGCGTGCAGATGGGTTAACAGGAAGCCGCCTAGGGGTCGGGGGTGGAAATGGCCACGGTCCAGAGAGCCGGGCAACGGCCAGGCAGGAAGTGAGGAGAGAGGAAGAGTGTCTGGGTCTTGGGTGCTGGACTCTCTTGGGAGAGCTCGGCCTCCCTCAGCAGGCGGGCGGGGCAGTGTGGGGGTGAGGTCAGAGCAGGCGGTGTGGGTAGAGTACAGGTGTGGGAGCCAGATTGCCTGGCACTGAATGCCAGCACTGTGACCTTGGGCGACTTCCTTAACCTGCGGGGCCTCATCTGTAAAATGGTTCTACTATCACCACGTGTCTCATAGGCTCCTTCTGGAAATTCAGCGGGTTCATATTTATAAAATACTTAGTTGGCTCACGCAACTGGTGGCCAAAAAAACTGGAGGCCAATAAAGAAATAGTTCTAATCCATTTCCATCTTTCCATGGAAGCTAAGACATGAAAGTCACATGACATTATCACCAAAACTAGGAGCGTAAGGACGGGTAGGAGGGGGGTAGGTGGTAAACAGATTGGCCTGTGGACTATTGTGGAAGGGTATACGCAAACCTTAGTGTCGAAAGCAGGGGAAGGCTTTCCCATTGAGCCAGGCTTAATTTTCATTCCTTTAAAATTTCCACAGATTAGCACCTAGATAAGAAGAAAGAATAAAGTAACATTACAAGTAACAAAACTTATCCATTTATTCGTCATGCATTCATTAATCAAATATTTATCGAGGACTTAGTATGAACCAGGCTCAAAATAAAACAAATTCTCTGCTCTCATGAAGTAGAGAGGTAGACACCAAACAAACAAATATATATATATATATAATGTTTATATATATGTATAATGTTTATATATAATGTTTATATAAAAAAAAAATAATGTTTAATTTATTTTATGTATATATAAAATAATGTTTAACTTTATTTTATATATTTTAGCTTAATTATTAGAATATCCATATTTATAAAAACATTTTCACTCCTATCAGCACAATACTTGAGCTGTTTCTGTTTAATAAATTTGTCACTTTTTATTTTATTTTTGGTATTTTAAGTTTTGACCAGTCACTACATTCTCATGGTTTTGTAAAGTGAAGCATTGTAAAAAGACACATTGCGAAAAATTTCTCAGCCTTTCCCTCACTTGCTTCATCTTACCCCTGTTTCCTACACAATAACCAGTTTCGCTATTATTTCATTTATTTTCTCTAGAATTTCTTATTCTTATTTCTATCTCTTTAGATAACCCTTTTTCGAGCGTGCCTGTCAAGGAGTTTTCCAGCAAACTCTTAATATTTCAAGTAACAAGGAACTCAGCATTTTCCATTTTTGAGGCAGCTCTAAGAAAGTTCCCTAGTACGTAAGGGAAAATCTTTCTGTAAAGAGTATTTTTTCATTTAAAAAGTAGTTTTAATGCCTTCACCCTGATCGGTTATAGAGTGCTTATTCTCAATGAATGGTTGTTTTCATTCTACAGTTCCAGGACTATTGTTAGACTATTTAAACAACTGTGTCTATTACAGAGTTGTGGGGTTGTTTTTTTGCAACTAGCTTGTCTCAAGTTTTTTTTTAACTCTTCTCCTAACCACTCCACTCTCTCCCTAGCCCCTAGACAGTCATAAGGATATAATATAAAATGAAAACATTGGTTTTCATTCATCTGACTTAACTGACTCCAGCCCCGTCTTTTCCAGGGAGGTTTATGTACCGTCTCAGTCTGTCCATATCCTTCGTAAATATCCAGACCTGTCTTGCTTCTCCACTGTTCAGTAACTTCAAGGTTGATTGGTTCTCCAGCACTCACGCAGTGCTGTAAGCTTTTGAACTCATAGCTTTTCAGAAGGCAGGTAATGAGTTACATTTAGGAGGGAAAATGGAGAGAAGTAGAAATTAGCATTATTTTAATGAAATTTCAGTATAAAGTATGCTTTAACTAAAACTTCCTAACTCCCCTCCAATACTAAAGAAACCATTCTAACATCATAACTCCCAAAACACTAGTTTTTCTTTTTCTTTTCTCCCTTTTTTTGGGGGGTGGGGTGGGGTGGGGGGGGAAGTAGAGGAACGTGATTTGTCGCAAGGAAAAGCCTTGCCATACCACATATGTTAATCATATTTAACCAGGATGTTACATCAGTGATTAAAAGTTTACCATTTGTCTGGTTAAACTGACTACGGAATATTTATACAATGGAATAATATAGAGCTATAAAAAAGAAAGGACATTCCTGGTCAGCGCTGTCCAACAGGACTTTCTGTTACGATGGAAAAGTCTATAATCGGTGCTGTCCACTATAGGATCCTCTAGTCCTGTGTGGCTCCTGAGCCCTTGAAGCATGACTAGTACAACCGAGAAACTGAGGTTTGTCTGTTTGTTTTTTTTTTCTGAAGTATAATCGACATATAACGTTAGTTTCAGGTGTAGAACACAATGACTTGATATTTTTTATGTACTGTGAAATGATCACCACAATAAGTCTAGTTAACACCTGTTACAAAATTATTTTTGTTCGTGATGAGAACCTTTAAGCTCTACCCTTGTAGCAGCTTTAAATGTGGAGTACGCTATTATTCACTATAGTCTGGAACTGAGTTTTTTAATTGAACGAAACTTAAATTTTAAATAGCTACCTTTGGCTAGGGGTTACCATACTGCACCGCACAGTTCCAGGAGGTATTGTGAGGCAAAAAAAAAAAAAAAAAAAAAAAAAAAAAAAGAAGGTGCAGAACTGCGTGCATATGTCATTTTCATTTATATTTGTAAAGGACGGTGACAGCGTGTGTCTGTTGGCTTGTGTGCGCACTGGGATCCGGGCGACAGGCAACAGTCTGGAGGAAGGAATTTCGCTATATATTCTTATATATGAATTTCATGTCATATGAATACCTATTCAGAATTCATTAAAATCAGTTAACATGTACCAATCTCCCCTTTCAAATGGTATCGGTGACAGAATAAAAGATATTTGCCTTTTTTTTCCTACTTGCTGGGATAAGGCTCCCAATAGGGGCGGCTTCTCTACTTTCTCAGCTCAAATAACAGTCAGCATCCAAAGATAAAACATCTTTTTTACCCAAAACCGCTGGGCTCAGGGCTGAACTCCTCCTTACTCTCCCCTTGCTTGGAGGAGCCCGCCCTGGACGTAGTAAGAATCGTTCACAGAATGTAAGCAAGAGGAGATGGAGAAGAGATTACTGAGTCCTACTAGTTTGGAGCTAGACGGATGTTTTAGGCAGAAAGATCTTTCATTTTCTAGCTTCCTCTTCCTGTGCCCTCCCCGCACTAAGTGCCTACCTACCCGCCATGCTTACCTGGTCATGTCACTCTGTACAAGCATTTTGTATGCAGTCGGCACTGAACAGAAGACCGTGATGGGGAACTTGGCGAGAGTCTGCAATTTGGAAGACGTAAAGGCTTGGTCTTTCTACAACTTTAAGAAGTGCCTAAGTGTCTGCGGGGGGCACAGCACGAACCTGAACCTTGTTTACGCTAACGTAAATGTACTCACACCTTGCCTCGGTATATCTTTTTGGGCTTATTGACTTTCTAGATATGAAATCTCTTAAATCATGTTGTCTATTCTGATTTCTGCAAGGGACTTTGTGCGCCAGTCCTGTCGGTGACACTGCTAATGCATTTCTAAATGTCGACCTCTGGTGCTCTCTCTGCCTGACCTGCAAGATGGATGTCGGCTCAAACCGCGGCAAATAATGTGCAAATACACATGCTCCCTGGGTCCACGGAGAGAAAACACTGCTCCATGCCATCTTTGCCCAGCCCGTGTCCGACGTGTTCCACATCACGTCCGAAGGTGTCAGATCCAGCCAGAACCTGGGAAAACAAAGAATAGCCCTGATCTATATAGGAAAAACAAATCTAAAAGACCAATAAATGAATCATCACCTCTGTGACGTTGAGGCTTCCAGCTGCAGTTCCGTGACAGTACCTCCCATTGACAGATAATCCTAAACCAAAACTGCTGTGGGTGTGTCCGGTCATCTTAGGAAACCCGCTCGTTCCGCTGGTAAAGAAAATGCTCATCAACTCATCGTGCTTTGTCCTCACACAGGTGTGGTTGTCACTGGCATGTCTAGGAAGAGAGAAGGATGGTGATGCTGTACATTCGCCAGCAGCACGCCAGAGGCCGTCAGCACAGAAAAGGATCCGAGAAACCATCCGCTCGGACGCCCTCATCTCGTGGGTCAGGCCCCAGTGATCTAGGCTGATGTCCAAGGGAAATGCCATCTCCCTCTCCATCTCTTTAGGTGCTTTCCAGAATCAGACTAAACTCTGCCATCAGGAGCCCATTTATAATGGCCGGTTTCATAGCTTTTTCCTGTATGATGAAGAGTTAAAGCATTTAAAAAACTCAAGAGTTATCACACCTCCAGGAGACTGAGGGCTCTGGGATCTCGTAATCAGGGATTTATGAAGAACTGCAGGATTGCTTTTCCGTTTCCCAAGAGGGAGTCTCCATAGTTGGGAATACAGTGAACAGTCAGGCGGAGGAGGACGGAGCATCTGCCCAGGGAAGGGAGGACCCAGTTGAAAGGAAGGGGCACATTTAATGCCTCCGCGGGATGGCCGGGCCGCTCTGTAAGCCCTACGTTGGGGCAGCTGGGAGGAGGGCAGCTCCGAGCATCCAGGATCTAAGAAGCGTAGATTTCATCTGGGAATCCTAGGCTGAGAATGAATGAATCAGAAACACCCGGGCCACGAGAAATATAGAACAGCAGTTTAAGAGTCTAACAAAGCTAGACTAAGTGTTTAGTCTATGATTCCATAATTATCTTGCTTAAAAATAGTTAGAACCTATAGCTGTGTCATGTCACTTCTATCGCATATACGATCGCTTTTGGAACCTGAGGTGGGGTTATCCTACTGGTCTGTCACTACTGGAGGCTGTAAACATGACAGGAGTGGGCCCGACTGCCTGGCTTAGAACCCAGCTCTGCCTACCCCAGCGTTTGGCCTTATTCACCTGCATACTCATCGTCCCGGCTTCCTAGCTCGTTGTGAGATGTGAGTTAATATATCTGAAGTGCTTACGACAGTCAGGGCACACAGCCGGTGCCACAGAGCTACTCTTGCAGGGATAACACTGTTTTTATTAGAATGGTACCAGGCCTCTGGTAAGAACCCAGGAAGTGTCGGCTATTTTTAGAGAAGGTAGGAATGAGTCTGTAGTCGCAAGCAGGCTCCCAAATCCTTGAGTAACACATGTTCGTTCTAGGGGGAATTTGCTACCAGCCGCAGGCTGAGTTAGAACCAATTCCTGGAGTTCTGAGGGTCTCTGGAACATCTATAGCAGGGCTTGGATCAGTGGGGACAGTTTTTGAATTGCATCCATTAAGTGTTCTGACCCTTATAACCTGAGAGGGGTGTTGCTGTCAGCAAGGGAGTGATACAGCCCACACGGAAGGAGTGACTGTCCTGTTTCCCCGGGGGCTGCTTTGTGGTTGACACTGGGCTACACTTTCCTACATCCTGGTGCGGGAGCCCTCTTTAAAGATGGCCTTGGCTGAAGACAGCCGCCTTACCCAAGGTCAGGCTCCCTTCTGGGGACAGCACCCACCGGTTACTGATCGGGGTGGGCAGTGCCTCCTCCTTTAGCTGGGCACAGCTTCAAGGGGTTGTCCAAGCTCCAGAGCTCCCAGTGCATTGGCCGAGGGCTGTTCTGGGATACAGGGCAGATCCATTTCTTGCCCTGCCCAATCCTCCATCTTTGCCCTTCGTTCAAAGGGTTGATCCCAAGAAAACTCCTTAACACACTTCTACACAGTCTCTGTCTCAGGGTCCGCTTCCCGCAAACCCCAACCCTCAAAAGCACCCCGAGCTCCTTCCTGCCTCAGACCTTTGCCTGTCAGTACGGCCGTTGTCACCATGCATCCCAATGGCCTGTGGCTTTTCATCTTTGTCTCCTGATCACGGCACACTCCGGGCCGAGGATCTCTCTAGCATCGCCCTTCTTTCGGGAGACTGCTGGGCAGCCATGGCGGCTACTCACCTCATCAGCCCCGTGAGGTGCCCCCACCCCTCCCTGGAGTTCTGAGACACGACCAGCTTGGAGTGCAAGTTTTCACATTCAGGGGCAACAGCATCCACCGTGGGGGCCATAGCTTCATTGGTGATGATGCACTTGGCCTTCGAAGATCGCAGTCTGTAGAGGACGTCTTTCTGGGTCAGCTGAGTGGTCCCTGGAATCAAAACTGTCCCTAAAGGAGCAGAAAAGAAGCAACGTTTAGAAGGAAGAATTTCCTTCACGTGAGGACTGTGCAGGTAGCTCACGTACATTCTGCCTTTCTCTGAGTTAGTCGGCCTCCCAGGCAGGGTATCCATTGGTCTTCCTTTCATTATTCAGCTTCTGTCTTTCATGGGGTCTCACAGCTGCAACCCTTTGACCTAACACGAAAGGGTGTGAAATGCTGGATAATTATCTTCCCTCTAAAGACCATAAAGAGGATTTGGCCTGAAAAGTATATTGTTACCGACATCCGTCGAATACTTGAGTGTCAGGTGTTATTCTAAGTGTTTTGCATGTTTTACCTCATCTAATCCCCACCTCAAAGCCCCAAACACAAAAGCTCTGAGTAACTTGTCCCAAATCCCCGAAGTACAAAGTAGCAGTGCAGGAACTGGACCCCGCAGCCTGGCCCCCCCAGAGCTGTACATTGGCCACTTCATCCAGCGCCTCTTAAAATGTAAGTGATAGTTTTGTGCTTTCTTTCCAAAGAGAAGGATTGAGAACTTTTCTTGCTTCTACTCCTGTCTGAGGTCAATTACACTCTCCGGTGATATGCGATGGTTCAGAGTGTGTCCTGGAGCCAGACACCCTCACAGCTGGGCTTTGCACAAGCCGCTTTGCCCCCATGAGCCTCAGCTTCTGCATCTGTAGAATGGGGATTATAATAACTGGTTCCACCTTCTTTATAGGATTATTGAGGATTAAATGAGTTAAAATGTGTAAGGGAGTTAAAACAGTGCTGAACACATTTTCGCCATTATTTTTTTCGAAGGATTAATGGACTTTCAAGAATATATCTATATACATCAGCATCTGTATCTACATCTCTGTATGTTAGACCCCGCACCCTACCACGCCTAAGTCCCAGACCTCCAGAGAGGGGTGGAGGGTGTTCGCTCCCCAGTGGCTTTTACTGTTCCCAGGGACGCAGAGGCAGTCACCCAGATGGCTTGTTAAAACACCGATGGCTGGATTCTGCTCATCTCCACCCCAGTTTTGGATTCAGTAGGTCTTGGGTGAGGCTGGAGAATCTACGCTTCTGACAAGTTCCCCGTGACGTTGACGCTGCCGGTCAGAGACGCGCCATGAGAATCACAGGTTAGTGTCTTTCCTCTCTGGGACTCTGTGCCTCTCCCTTTCGGAAAGCACGCGAAAACTCACCCCACTACTCTCCCACGTGGGAATGCGTTTCCAAACCTTTTAAGACCCCTCCAAAGGCATCATGCAATCATACATTTTTCTTTTTTTATTGCAAAATATACCAAACGTGCAACAGAGTTTCTGTGGTGTAAATGCGTAATTCCCTTTGAAAACATGAAAGCGAGCATCGTCTAGTCTACCACCCAGCTTAAGAACGAGAATTTAACCATATGTTTGAAGCCCCCTTGTGTGCCCTGCCCCGAATTCCCAGGTAGCTCTTATCCAGAATGTTGCGTTGACCGTGACTTTGCCTTTCTTTACCATTTCATCACTCACGTATATAACTCCAGGAACTATATGAGCAGCAGAAGTCCTTGTAGATATTTCACTTAGCTAAGGTTTATCGAGAGGGAAAATTATTAGGAAATCAACAGCTATGAGCTCCTTTGTGATTCTTCCACGAAGACTAGCAGGCTGGGGTCGCCTGAGGAGGTGACATCCGAGCCAAGACGGGGAAGACTGACAGGCAGTCCAGGTGGTTAGGTGTGCGAGGAAGGCTCTGCGAGCACGGGAAGCAGCGTGCACAGAAGCCAGGGCACGGGAAGGATGGCGAGCCTCACGGGAGGACATCTGACAGGGCTGGAGCACAGAGCGCGAGGCCGAGAAAGTGAGAGCGATAAAGCGAAGGTAGCTAGAGCCTTTTGCCACACCCCCGAAGAACGGGGAGTCGCCGAATAATGTCAAGCAGCAAAATGATGGGATCAATGCGTGTGCTAGAAAGGACGCTGGCTACGGAGGATGGACCGGATCGGGGCAGGGTGAGGGCACCCACGAGACAGAATTAGGAAGACTTGGGATGGTGAAGATGTGAAGCAAGGCCATGGTGATGGACCTGGAGAAGAGAGACTCTGGAGACATGTCGGAGGTGCAGTTTACAAGGCATGGGGCGCCATTAGGAAGGAGGAGTCACAGATGTCTGGCTTTAGTGCCCCAGATGAATGGTAATTACTCATGAGAGCAATAAAGGCAGGAAACAGGAACCGGGGTGGGTGCTTTGAGTTTGAGGCTGCACTGAGAGTCACATGATCGCGATGGTCCTACAGGAGGAGAAGGGCTGTAGGTATGAGGGTGTTCGATTGTTGACTGGCATTCACTTAATAAAACTATTTCATTTTGAAAAACCCAACTCCTAGTTTAGGCCAAAAGATAGAGCATGTTTCCAATACATTTTACGGTTCCTGAGAATAATACTGTCTTGCATACAGTTCCTCAAATAATTTGCCCAAACGAACATCTAACAATTACTTTTGGAAGATCTCCCATCAGCCTATTTTAAAAATGATCGGATCACAAACGTTACTAACCTGTTCGCAGACAGGCTACATTTGCAAGCCACCACTCCGGGATCTGGGGCAGAATCACGACTACGCGATCTCCCCTTCGTAGGCCGCAGAATTCCGTCAGGATGTTGGCGAGTTTCCTGGACAGAAATCCCAGTTCTTCAAAACCCCATCTCACTTCTTCTCCATCTCCGTTTACCCACCAGAAGGCCGGGTTGGAAGGTCTCTTTCCAGCCTGAGGAAAGACAGTTCAGTCTTGAGTTTTAAGGTGGTCGTGCAGCTAAATTCTATTTTAAACCAACTAATAGAATATTTTCTCTGAAGAAAGTTCGTAGGTCATTCGTTAGGGCACACACGGAAGTACCTCAGGGGTCCTTGTTTCTAGAGTTGGTTGCTATGTCATTCGTTTGGGCACAAGCCATTTCTCATTTTTCTCAGGGCTGTATCTATGCCTCGTTTCCTACCATTTCCGACTCCTGGAATCACTTCTCTACTCCTTTTTCTTAAATTAACCTATAATCACACATCTTTATAACGCAGGCTTTCTCAGCTATGGAGCTGTTAACACTTTGAGCCTTTGCTGGGGGGAGCTGTCCTGTGCATTATAGGATATTTAGTTGACATCCTCGCTTGGCACCCATCGGCACAACCGTCCCCCAAGTTGTGGCAACAAAATTGTCCCCAGACTTTGCCAAATGTCCCTTAGGGGCAAAATCACTCCCAGTTGGAAACTGTAGTTTGACTGGCCCTTGCTCTGTACCTTTTCCATGTCAGTCCATTTGTCTAGGACATCTCCAGCAAAGTTGAAATACTCCGGAACCTCCAGTTTGAAGTCCCGCTTCATGGAGTCATAGTCAGAAAAATTCTGAGGGGTCGCTGTCCTGTAATCTCTATGAAGCGCTCTCACAGGACGAGGAATTGCGAGGCGCTGCAAACACTTGACGCGAAGCAATATCTCCATGGTGGCAAGAGCGAGCGTCAGTTTTGCGGGATGCTGTAGTACTCAGGATTTCCTATGGAGGCCATCCATGTAAAAGACAAGCAAAAAGACACACATGTGTTTCTGTCCTGAAGGTAGCCATGCCCTCCCCAAACAGCTTGGTTTTATGATTGTTAATATTTATCATCACAGTACCATTTTCTGAGCGCTAAGTTCCAAACACTGTGCCTAGTTTTACTTACACGCAATTTGTCAGTAAATCTTCAGTAACCCTGCGTGGTAGATGGTGTGATCATCTCTGTTTACCGAGAGAGAGGATGTAAGAGGCCGTCCCAGCCCCGGAAGCCGTGACAAACACCGTGGACTGCGTGGCTTAAGGAGCAGGTGTCTGTTTCTCACGGTTCTGGTGGCTAGAAAGCCCCAGATCAGGGTGCTGGCCCATTTGCTCCCCGGCGGGGGGCCCTGTTGCTGGCTTGCAGATGGTCACCTTCTTTCTGCGCCTTCATATGGTGGAGGATGGGGGAGCTCTGGTGTCTCTTCCTCTTCTTAGAAGCGCTCTAATCCCATCATGGGTGCCTCTCCCTCATGACCTCATCTGAACCTAATAATTCCCAAAGATCCACCTCCAAATACCATCACATTTGGGGATTAGGGCTTCAACATAAGAATTTGTGGGTGATACAAACCAAAAACATTCAGTCTGTAACAGGCATTAGTTGGACTTGAACCCAGAGCCGTCTCGTTCCAGGCAATTCTCCTGAGCACTGCGTGCTGCTGCCTCCCACATGTATCCCTAAAGTAGGTCTGAGTCACCCGGTCCTCACAGTGTCAGCGAAGGGCTAAGCCTTCATACCTGGTCCCTGTCAACCGCACATTTCAAACGTAGCGCAGAAGCGTCGAGGAGAGTTTGTTCACAGTGCGTAATCCCTAGATGAAGAAACCGAGAGTGCCCCAGGACCGACTGGGCCTGAAAACACTGGCAGAGGTCACGTGGTTTCCAGGTTCTCACGCTCCCCTTAGCAGCCCATGCCCCCTTCAAGCCCGGGCATGGAGCTGCGTTTACCAGAGATGGAATAACAGGCCTTTAACCTGCAGGACTTCTGTGGGGGCGGCCCTCTGGACCGCCCAGCTCTCTCTCTTCTCCTTCTGTGGGAAATCATTTGATCTCGAAATCATTTACTTGGCCGAGGACTCATAAATGAAACTGTTTAAAACACAGTTGTGAGGATTAGAGGGTTCGCATCTTTATATTTCCCATCATCTTCCAAATTTCCTGCAGCGAATCACTACCGTGAAACTCATTAAACCATCATTTTTCACCGCAGTTCTAAGCCGTGCGGTGCGTAAGGCAGCGTGGCTGTGTGGAAGCATTCCTGTATTGACAAACTGCCAAATGATAATTAATCATGGATGTCGGCCATGTTTTACCCTAAAGAGACCTGGCATCTGGGCATCACGTTGCCGTACCCGGCGCATTGTGGGATTGCCATTTGAATGTCCTCATTACTACGGCTCAATAGGATTTCAATAGAGCAGTGCTTCTCAACCCTGCAAATATATTTTCCCATTCAGATGGTTGTCTCTCTGCCTTCTTGACGGTTTCTTTTGCTGCGCAGAAGCTTTTTAGTTTTAGGTCGTCTCACTCATTTTTGCTTTTACTTCCCTTGCCTTTGAGGTCAAATTCATAAAATCCTCTTTAAGACCAAGGTCCATGAGTCTGGTACCTATGTTTTCGTCTATGCAATTTATTGTTTCAGGTCTTATGTTCAGATCCTTAATCCATTTTGAGTTAATTTTAGTGTGTGGCGATAGACAACAATCTAGCTTCATTCTTTTGCAGATTGCCTTCCAGTTTTCTCAGCACCATATATTGAAGAGGCTTTCCTTTCTCCACTGGATGTTTTTGTCTCTTCTGTCGAAAATTATTTGTCCATATAGACATGGGTTTACTTCTGGACTCTCGATTCTGTTCCACTGGTCTGTGTGTCTGTTTTTCTGCGAATACCATACCATTCTGATTATTGTCTCTTTGAAGTCGGGCAGAGTGGTACCTCCAGACTTGTTCTTTTATCTCAGGATGGTTTTGGCGATTTGGGGTCTTTTAGGCTACCATAAAAATCTGAGAATTTTTTGTTCTATTTCTTTAAAAAGTGCCGATGGGATTTTGTTGGGGATTGCGTTAAATCTGTATAATGTTTTAGGTAATAAGGTCATTTTAACTATGTTGATTCTTCCAATCCCAGAACATGGAATATCTTTCCATTTCTTTGTGTCTTCTTCAATTTCTTTAAATAGGGTCCTATAGTTTTCATTATATAGATCCTTCGCATGTTTTGTTAGGTTTATTCCTAGGTATTTTTGATCCAATCTGCAACTCTGTGCCTTTTTATTGGTGAGTTCAGTCCATTTACATTTAGGGTGATTATTGAAATATTAGGTTTTCCTATAGCCATGTTATCTTATGTTTTCTGGCAGCTCAGTGTTTCCATTGTTTTCTCGCCCTTGTGTTTCTGCCTGTTATTTTAATTTGGTTGGGTTTTGTGGATTTTCCCTCTGGTCCTTCTCATTTTATGTTATGTATTTCAGTTTTAGATCTTTGCCGTACGGCTACCATTAATAATATGTAAAGGACATATACGTAAATATAGTAGTCCGTTTTCTTCTGCGTGTGCCTTATCTCCATTCCCCTTTGCAAATTTAGACCTTTGATTCCTCCCCTTTTCTGTAACTGTTGTCTCAGATTGTCCCTATGTATGCTGAACATTTATTTCCATCCTGCAATAAGCATTCTTCTTATTGTTAAAGCTTATAATACCCTGTTCTCAGTAAGGATTGCACTACTCTGCTTCTGTCTGCCTGCTAGTAGCCTTACTTATAGTTATGTATTTTTTTTGTTTGTTTGGTCATTTTCTTTCAGGTGGACTGACCCATTTCAGTATTTCCTGTAATGTAAGCCTCATATTGAAGAATTCCCTGAATTTTTGTATGTCTGGAAAGGTCTTTATTTCTCCTTCATATCTAAAGGAGAGCTTAGCTGGATACATTATCCTTGGCTGGTAGTTCCTTTCATTTAATAGTTTGAATATTTGATTCTACTCCTTTCTGGCTTGTAAGGTTTGTGCTGAGGAGTCTGATGATAATCTAATGGTTTTTACTTAGAGGTTACCATCTTCTTTTCTCTGGCTGCCCTGAGAATTCTGTCTTTGTTGTTGATGTTTGATAATTTTAATACAACGCGTCTTGGAGGAGGATTTTTCGAGTTGAGATAATTGGATGTTCTATTAGCTTCTTAGATTTGAAGCTCCAGATCATCCCTTCGATTTGGGAAATTCTCATCAACTATTTGTCTGAATATGCTCTCTGACTCCTTCACCTTTTCTTCTCCTACTGAAATACCCATTATTCTTATTTTCCTCTCCTGATGGTATCGGCTAGCTCTTGCATTTCTCTTTCATTAGTTTTCTTTCTTCAGTTTCTCTCTTCTTCTCTCTGAATGATTTCCAGATTTCTATCTTCGATATCACCGATTCGTTCCTCCGTTTAGTCGACTCTATTTCCTAAGCTTGCTATTTCACTTTTTATCTCCTTTAGTGTGTTCTTCATCTCCAGAAGTTCTATTCGGTTCTTTTTTAGGGTTTCAATCTCCTTGCTAAAATACTCATTCTGCTGGTATGTTTTTTTTTCCCTCAGATCTCGGAATTGTGGGTTTGAGTTATTTTGCATTTGATTGAGTTCTTTCAGAATTACAATTCTGAATTCTCTGCGATTTAAATCACATATTTTCTGGAGATTTTCCTCTTTCTTTCTGAGCCGCCTTGTCACCCTAGTTGTTCATGGTGTTTGATAGATGATTCCTCTGCTTGGGCATTAATGGGAATGTATTCTGCTTCCCCCCCTTTTTTTCCCAGAAAGATTTATTGTATAGAGGTCTCTCTTTAGCCTGTTGATAAGGTGTTTGTCTTTTGATTTCCAGTAGGTGGCGTCCAAGCCTCTTGGATCTCTGCTTTGAGACTGATGATGCCTTTTTCAGGTGAGGATAGCTACCCTTTGTCCCAGCCCTTAGGTGGATTATTGTTGCGGTAGCATTTCTCAAATCCCTCTAGGGCTCTGTGGTGCTAGATCGTGAGGATACGAGGTTGAGGGAGGGCGCACTCTGGGTTGGTGAGTGGGAGTTGCTGCTAGTCTTGGTGTCTCAGCCTCCCACTTTGCAAGTGCAGCTGCTAAAACCCAGCTCTTGCCCCTGTGCAGTTAGTTCCCACTCCACTTTCTGTCCTGATCCCTGGGCTCCCCTGGGTGGAGCTCACAGCTCTGTCAGGCAGGGCCCTTTGGGGAACAGGCCACGATTTCTGCTCTCCCCCTCCTCCTGCAGGGAGCTCCGGCTGCAGAGGCAGCATCTTCGTCCCTCCCAGTCCCCTCCCCAGACTCCCGCGGCTCTGACCCGCGGAAGCTCTCATGCACAGATCGCTCGCTCACATGTGCTTGTGTGCAGGTCGCGTGGTATTTGTTGAGTTTTAGATGTTCGGCTTATTGTTATTTCAAGGGGAGAGATCCGGGGACATCTCTCGCTCCACCATGCTTCTGATGTCACCCCTCCAGAGTTTCTTTATGTGTCTTCAAGCCAGTATGACTATGGATTCTTATTTCTCAACCACTTTCATACAACAGGTAGCCTAGAGTGCACACTCTTTTGTTCATTAAAATTTTTTTTTTTTTTACAATGGATTTTTGACGGTCTTTCCTTATCAGTACACAGGTATCTTCCTCATTTTGTTTTTTTTTTTTTTCTTAACGGCTGTTTGGCATCCCAATGAACAGCTGCACCATAATTTCTTAAATCATTCCCAAGTTGGTCATCATTTGAGGTGTTTCCATAATTTTGCAATCTAGATGAAATTTTTTGAAACTATTTCCTCCACCACATTCAAAATACATCGAAAAGAAAATGGACCATTCATTCGGAGCTTTAAATGAGCCTAAGCATTCTGTTTCTCCAGAAAGAAAAAATCGCCATCCTCTTCATCAAAACTGTAAGGTTTCCTCCTCCCCAACAAAGTTACATTTCTGTCTTTTCAGTGAACTTAGCGTTGCTCTATGTCCATGTTCCAGATTTTCCAATATTCTTTACTGGTTAAAAAGCTGAGATAATTTCCCCAGTCTCAGTCCAGATTTTTATACCGAACCACAGAGAATCGTCTCCTAAGGCACTCAGTAGCACTGCTGGTCAGATGGGCTTTTGAAAGTGTCTAAGCTCTCATCTGAAATGCAAGCTCTACATCCATATAAACAGCAGTGCCAAGAGGGGTTAGCCTCCCTCTCTCCCCTTAAGTACGTACCCACCAAGTAATCTAAGTAATAACAGTGGTTTGGCATGTATCGTCTCAAAGCGAGAAGCCCCTGTGATTCCCCCCAACCCTAACGAGACCCTGCCTTAAACTTCTATACAGGGTTTATGGGGCCTCCCTTGACCAGCTGGAGAAAAGCGGCTGCCCCTTAGGTGATCTTTAGGTTTGCATGTATATATTTCCTGAAGTTTCCTAGTAGTTTGCATACTTTCTGGATGATGCAGAAGTTGGATCCCTATCTGCCACGAGTGGGTAGGGAACTAAGTAGATAGTACAGTGAAAAACTCAGTTGCTACCGGGACTCAATTAAACTCTTTTCCAAAATGTGTTATCAAGTTAACACATGTACATGGGTTTTAAACAATTAAATAGCCCCAAAAGGCTTAAAATGAAAAGCTCAGCTGCTGTGTTTACAGGTTTTTGTATGTATGTACTCCTGGTAACTTACTAAATAATATCACACATCAGCTAAGAAATTCCGGTAGGAATACCTTGGCTGCCCAAGACTTCAACGAGGGTATTTTTTTTTTTTAATTTCATTTTCCAATTAGAATTGACATTAAAGATTATTTTATATTAGTTTCAGGTGCATAGCATAGTGGTTCGACATTTATCTAACTTACAAAGTAATCCCCCTGATTAGTTTAGTACCTACCTGGTACCACACATAGTTATTACAACATCGACATCATTTCACTCGGCATCATACCCTATTTTCCATTCATGTCATTGCAAATGTAAGATTTTGGGTTTTTTATTTTTTATTTATTTATACTTTTTATCTCTTTATATATTTTTTAAGTGAGGCAGCCCTTGGTTGACCTCACAGATTGCAAGGACCTTGTCAGCTTCCAATCCCTTATTTTTTATTTTTGAAAATTTTTACGCCTATAGCACCTGGTCTTCCTAGTTGGTCTCCCATCCTGGCCCGACCCTGCTTAGCTTCAAGGGTTTTTTGGTTATTGTTGTTTATTTTTTTATGGCTGAGTCACGGTGAGAGTATTTTGATTTGTTGGTTTTGTTTGCTTGTTATTTTTGATCAAGTGCATGTACCAGCCCAGCAAACCTTCCAAGAGGAGACAAGTAAGGTACTCACTAAAATGACAGATTCTGGCACCACTGCGGCTGATGGCAGACCTGTTTCCTGGACGAGCAGCCTTGAAGCTCCAGCTCTCCATCTGCTTTCCTGCGCTTGGAAACCCAAACGAGGAGCGGCCATCAGTGTAACCCTGGGAAAGCAGGGCTGGCCCGGACTGCCTTCTCGTGATTGGTGGGGACCTGAGGGAGGAGCAGGAGTTCTGGGCTAAACTTCCAGCCTGAAAACTTACACAGTTCGCTGTGCTCTCCCTCGCATAGTAAATGGCTTTACACCCCCTGCAAGCTTTTGGGAAGGGAGTGCTGGGAAAGCAGTTGAGTCACAGGAAGGACTCGGTTACTCAGTTCCAACGTGGAGTTGCTGGAGCGGCTGGCCAGGAGAAAGAGACAAGGGCGGGGGAAGACGGAGGGGCTTTGAAGTGGAAAGGAAAGAAGTTAAGGGCTGCCGCTGAACACCTTCCAATGGATCAAGAGCCCCTACAACGACGAGTTAATTTTCCAACCCCAAATGCTCCCAGTGCTCAGGCAGAGAAACTCAGATCCCTGCGTAAGTGGATCTGATGCTCAAGAACGTGTTCGTTAATGTTTTCCTCTGTTGAGTTTAACAGCTAGTAGGTTTATTTTTCCTCGCAAGGGCTGCCTTCCCTGCCTTAGTTTTATTCCTCCGCTGAGTTGATAATTGACTTTATATGAAAACAACTCGGCTGGGTGCAAGGTTCTTGCGGAAAGTTTTCTTTCCCTCAGAACACTGTGGACCTTGTGCTACTGTCGTCTGGCATTAAATATTACTTTGGAGAAGCTCTTGGTCAATCAAGTTCATTTCTTCCAGTTTGTGCCTGTCGTATACTAAATTTTGCCTTCGTTCGTGGTTCCTAAGTCCTTCTGGACTCTATATTCTTGGAATTCCCTGAGTCGCAGGAGGGCCTTTGTTATTCATGAGCCCCTCGAGTCGCCCCTTAGTTCATGAGAGCAAGACTGCTCAGGATGAGGGGTCTGGTCACCACAAAGGTCAGCCAAGGGCTTGGAGCTTTGAATCTAGCCCAACCGTGGGGAGGGAAGTGGACAGGAGATCATTTACTCATTGGCTACTTATTTATCATGCCTGCACAGTGAACCCCCCATTATAGCCCATGCAGCTGTCTGGTCCTTGACCACGAGCCGGTAGGGTGACCTTCCGCGGGGAGATCACATGGACGATTGGCGTTTGGGACCCTCTCAGAAACTTCGCCTGTGTTTCTTGTCATCTGGCTGGTCCCGAAACATCTCTTCTGTAATAAAACTGAAATCCTAAGCATAGCACTTTTCTGAGTTCTGTGAGTTGTACTAGTGAATTAACAGACACGAGGGTTTTGGGGGACCCTCTGGTTTTGTAGTCTGTGGGTCAGGGATGTGGGTGGCCCGGCAACCCTCAAATTCACAGCCAGCATCTGCAGTCTTGCAGGGGGCTGTGTCCTTAGCGCTCTGGGGTCTGATGCTAAGCCCAGTGTCAGACTGTGTTGAAATGCAGCATCGTATTGCCTTCCTTATTCTGCCCAGGGGCTTATGTAATGCTTTATTCGTAAAATTAATTAACTTCAGTTAGCGACACTGTGATGTTGTTAGTTCTATATCAGACCTTACCTGGAACAGAATATGGCCGATTCTACAGTCTTTCTTCTGTTATGTTACTTTATGGTCTTTCTCTGTGATAATTTCTGCCTTCATTTTTGGTGACTTTGGTCTCCATGTGAATGATGCATTGAATAGCCTGGCGTTTCATTCCTTGATCGCCTGTCTGCCGATGACCTTGTTCCACCCAGCCTCAGCCACCCATTCTCTGAGGAGAGATCTGAGGTTAGGACCAAAAGGGAGGAATGTGACGGCCTGTATAAACCAAGTGCACTTGGAACAATAATTCACCGAAATGTCACTGTCGCTTGTTGTGACATCGCTCTGAAACAAATGTGAAGAAGTGGATACAGACAATATTTTTGATAGTAATAGAAATATATTTTACAAATAAAAACGTTCCCATAGAGACAACTTAATGTTAAGAAGTCTGGCTAAGCTTCCTTGTAGTTTGTATTTCTCGTTCTCATCAGATTTCTGACTTCGTTGAGTTCCTTGTCCTTGTGTCCTGTTCTACTTGTTACCTCTGGAGTCTTGCAACAGGAGTACTACAGGAAAGTCTACTGATTATGCACATTTCTGTAGGAATCAAAAACTAAGTGGGATGGTTTGGAGAAACTTTGGCCGGTAAGGGCAACATGAGTTTGCAGTGTGTCTGGCTTTGCTAACAGTTGCCATCTCAGTACTTGGGACAATCCCCAGCGCATGAGTGCTTAACGAATATTAACCGAGTGAATCAATGAACATGAATAAGTGAAATGGTCTTTTGCAAGCACAGGCTACGTCCAGTTGGCGACCTGCATCTAAGTTTGCAGGCCGGCTCCTCCCGCAGACCACATCTCCAGGGAAAAACCCTCCTTTCAGTGGCGAGGGCAAAGAAATGCCCATAAATCTTCGTGAGGGGCGGGCCTCGAGCCACTCGTTCACCGCCTGATGTCGGCCGGCGTTAGGACCCGGCATCGCAGGGACGGAAGCTTGGAGGCGGGGCTGGGGTAGGCCGTCCCGCGCCCGTGACGTAACCAGCCCGCGCCCGCAGGAGTGGGGCCGCAGCGCGCCGTAGGGAAACAGGTTTCTGGCTGGCCGTCGCTGCCACGCACCATGGCGAGTCCCATCCAGCAGCCTCCTCAGCCTGGCGGCGGGAAGCGCAAGGGCAAGGCTCAGTACGTGCAGGCCAAGCGAGCTCGGCGCGGCGCAGGCGGCGGGCCCCGGCAGCTGGAGCCGGCCATGCAGGGCATTCTCATCACCTGCAACATGAACGAGCGCAAGTGCGTGGAGGAAGCCTACAGCCTGCTCAACGAATACAGCGATGACCTGTTTGGGCCGGAAAAGGTACGCACCCGGGCGGATGGCCGGCCTTACGCGCTCGAGGGAGGCGGGAAGGTCGGCGGCCTTCACACGCATGCGCGATCCGTGGCGAGGGGGCGTGGCCCCGCGTTATCCCCGCCCCTCGCGTGGTGGGTGGCAGGGCCCTGCCAGGCTTTGAGCTTGAAATGCTTACACCCTGCACTTCTCTTCTCGTTATCAATTACGGTGTTTCCCGCTTAGATATTGCTTCCTCTGGTCCAGACGTTGTGTTCCTCAAGCTTTTTCAGAAACATTTACTTCTTAACGACAACCTCTTAATGGTCGCGAGGACACGGGGCGTTAAGTAGGTAGATGGAATCAGTTCACAGAGACAGACGTGGTTCGTCCTCGTGGTTTTAGCCATCTTCCCCCCGTCTAAACACCATGGCTGTATTATGTGTTTGTCCTAAGCAGTGTCTCTGTAGTAGTGGGTTTACTTTTACTGCGAACTAGTTATCCAATGCACATACAAATACATTTGAAAAGTGAGAACTTTTGTACCAGTGAGTGCCACCTTAAATTCAATTATCCCATCACAGTTTGGAAATCATACTCTTGGCTTGGGATCTAACACATATATGAAATCCCCAAGAATGAAATGAAGCAGCATATTACAGAGGGGATTTGAACTCATGTGCTATCATAGGAGCTGGGGCTTGGGCAAGTTAATTCTGCTGAGCTAGATAAGAGAATAATGATAGCACTTCATAAGGTTGGCTAAAGAGTTGCTTATGTACATAAAGTACATCCTGGTATATGGCAGAGGCTCCATAAGTGTGTACAGTCACTCCTAGTGCCTGATCAGCAACTCAGTTATGGGGCAGAGAACTGGGCAACAGCTATATGTCCTGTGTGCGCTGGTGCCTTGAGCATGTTCTTGAACTATTTCTGATCTCTGTTCCTCAGTAGGACAGGAGTAAGGGATTTTAATTCCATGACTGTTTGGTCTAATCTCACCTAAAGGAGAGTGACATAGTAGGCACAAAGACATCTAGCGATGGGATTAAGGTCCACCCCGAAATGATTGATGTGGTGAGCACATTTCCCTCTGTCCCAGACTGTCAAGATGCTTTTGAAAACATTTTTCAAATCACATGATCCAGAGTCTGAGGGAACTTCTTCCTCCGCATTTTGGAGGGAGCGATGTCTCAATCTCTAAATAAAAAGCTTGATCATCAGTATCGAGCCATCCGTCACTGGGGGTTTCACATGAGGAGTTAATGATAGCTTTGAACATGAGCTGTTGTGGCATTTCTGCCCATTCGTTTTATGCAGACGGTTTACAGACAAGGATCAGCAGCCCTCTGGAAGTGAGGGCGAAGATGACGATGTGGAGGTGGCCCTGAAGAAGGAAGTGGGCGACATTTAAGGCGTCACGGAGATGAGGCTAAGAAGATTCCAGTCAGTGGAGAGTGGAGCGAACAATGTTGTCTTCATCAGGACTCTAGGGATAGGTGTGTCCGACTAAAAGCCTTGAGATTATTGGACCCGCCTCGAGCACACTGCCTACAAAATGGCTTCATGGTTATGGCTCAGTTAAACATTTAATTACCTCCTCTGTACCACAGCACTAGGCATATGGAGAGGTAGAAGGGGGTGGCGGACCCAGCACTGCCTTAGAGTGGAAACTTGGCCTTTCCTGTTCTGTGCAGAGAACTTCAGGTTGAACAGGAAGCACATGCTGTCTATGCCTGAGAGTAGCAGCTGCTGCTCAGCACCAGCCAGTTGGGGGTGTGGCTCCGGACTGTGGGAACGCCTCCTGGGCGTGGCTCCAGACTGTGGGAACACCTCCTGGCGGGGCCAGACCTCCTGGTAGTTCAGAAGGAATTGGAAAGCTGGGGAAGTTTCTAGATTTTTAAGTGCAATTGCTAACTTAGAAGTATCAGAAACACTGAGCAGCCCTGGACAGACTCGTATGTGATCAGGCGTACTGCATCGTGGTCCTGTCAACTCGAAGTTCCGAGGCTCTCAGGTGTGAGGTTAGGACTCCATGCAGACTTGCCTAATGGAGCAAGTCAGTCTTTTTCAGTGACTTGCAGATTTTTGTCTTGTTTGTTTTTGTAAAAAGTATGGACTCTTTAACGTTTCTTACTCTGATAGTTGCTATGATAGGAAAACAGTATGGTTTTGTCATTGGACGAATCAGACATCACAAAACTGTTAACTCCAGTGTCTTCAGGAACAGATGTTTCTAGTGAAAGCAGCAGGAACGCTGAAGAGCTAAAACATTAGATGCAGTATTAAAACATAGTAGTCGTCAAAGAAACATTAATTGGAAAACATGGTTGGTTAGAGTTACTTAAAACTCATGATCATTTCCTCTATTCTACTGTCAACTTATGTCACGGCCAGTGAAAATTCATTTTAGAGAGTTTGAAGAGTCTTTAAAAATGTCTGAGAACTTATATTCTTTTTTGTTTGTCGTGAGCTGTTTTTTTGTCTTCTCCTCTTAGAACCGGAGAAATTGGTGCATCATATTCTCCAGGATATGTACAAAACCAAGAAGAAGAAGACTCGGGTTATTCTGCGAATGCTGCCCGTCTCAGGCACGTGCAAGGCTTTCTTAGAAGATATGAAAAAATATGCAGAAACCTTTTTGGAAGCCTGGTTTAAGGCTCCAAAGAAAGGGCCATTTCAGATTGTGTACAAATCTCAAAATAACAGCCACGTGAATAGAGAAGAAGTTATCAAAGAATTGGCAGCTATGTTTCTCCTCGCGC